AAGGTGTTTTTGAGAACAGTTCTTCAGGAGAGTGAGAGCTGGTGGCAGAAAGGAAGTCAGCAGTGGCTGAAACAGCCTGTGGTCTGTAGATGAGTCTAGAGATGGTTTCTCTGCCCTCTGTGAGCAGACAGACAAACTTAGCAGAGTAGCAGACTATAGGGTCTTATTTACAAATATGTGTTGTCTACTTCCCTTGAGAGCTTACGAAAAACATACACATTATAGCAAAATTCAAATTCCCAGTTCATAATAAGGCGAGTCAACAAAACTTAAACATTAACGAAGGAAGTCTGCCAAAGGTTAACGCTCGCCAAAAACAAAATTAAACAGTTTGCTCATCAGTTGAGCTTAAAATCTCCCCCAAAGGTTGGAGGTGTGAACAATCACAAGTCTTAAGTGCTAATTTGTAGCAAATGTAGTAGGTTTCTGTTTCTTCTGGCTAACATTCAAAATGTAATGTCAACTGTATTCCAACTTTTAGCCGGATTTTGAGTTTTAGGCATTATATTTGTTAGTAACTACCCAAGAGAATGTGACAGATTTAGTGAGTCTCAGACTGAGTCTTGTAATGGCAATGAAAAAAAAATATTAAACATTTTTTTTTATTAGAGAAGATTTCAAAAATAGTTCAAAGTGGAGAGTGCAAAGGACTCCCATGTGCACATCACCCAGCTTCAGCAAGTACCAACTCGTGGTCGGTCGCACTCTGCTTATACCTCCCTCTGCTTCGTAGTGTTTTGCAACAAATGCCAGTCATCTTATAATTTTATCCATACGTAGTTCCCCGCGTACCTCTAAAATCACAGGCTCTTTTTTAAAAATATAACCACACCACACAGTCAACATATCTAAAGAGAATGATTCCTTACTCTTAACAAACCTTCGGTCAATATTCCCGTTTTCCTAATTATCTTATTTTGGGGTTTAATTGTTTGAATCACCACCCAAATAAGGCTTATAACTTGCCAATGAATATTGTCTTCGTTCTCTCATCATCTTTTGGTTCCTTCTTTATCGTTTGCTCATTATTTTTCCTTTGCGATTTTTCATCATAAAATCTTGGTCATTTGTCCTGTACAGTTTTTATTTTTGTTTTTTTATTAAACCAAATCCATTCAAATCCTTCCCTGATTTGAATGATTAAAAACAAATTAAGCATTTTCTTTTAAAAATCCAAGCATGTCACTGAACTCCCATGTAATCGACCGCAGTTCGCGTCCCAGACCCGGCGGCTTAAAACTCACACCGGGTGAGTGTGCATGTGTACCCCAAGTCCCAAGAGGAGAATGGAGGAGAAGAGATTGCAGCATGGCCATCCCCCCGGGGGAAAGGCGGATTTCTTGCCTTTTGTCTTTCTGTGTCTCTCTGTCTCTCCAGTGAGCACACAGGCCTTATAGCAAAAACTCTACCAAAAAAAATAAATTAATAAAATAAAATCAAGCATGTGTCTTTTGAGAAATAGTAACCTGAAATCTGACCTGTTTACTTGCTAATATTTTAAAGGTATTACCTCATTTTAACCTCCCCATCACCTTAGAAGTGTATGATTATTGTAAGTCACATGTAAGGCAGCACTAGAAGGCTAAAAGACTTGCCCCAGGTTCATGCGAAAAGCCAGGAGGCTCACTCAGGCTTTTCTAGCTCTGTCGCTCATAGACAGAAGGGCCAGGGAGAGCTCGGCGTCCTGAAAGGGCAGTGGTGGGGAAGGCCTGTCCTTCTGTGCCTCAGCCCTTTGTCAGTGAGTCGGCAGCATCCGCCGCCTTCCTGTCTGGACCTTCTGAGGAGTTCCAAACAACCAGAGACCTTGCCCCTGCTTTTAAGAACTTAGACTCGAGGGGCCAGCAGTTGGTGTAATGGCTATGCTGCTGGACTCCAATGTAGCCAACTATAGTTCAAGGCCTGGATCCAGTGGCTTAAACTCACACCAAGTGCATGTATGTGCGTGCCCAAGAGCCTGAGAAGAGCATGGAAGAGAAGGGATTGCGGCATGGCCATCTCCCCCCCCTCGGGGGGGTGGGGAGATGATTTCTCGCTTTCTGTCTCTCTGTCTCTCTCTTTGTCTTTCTAGTGAGTGCACGCGCCCTATAGCAAAAACCACTCAAAAAAGAAAGAGAGAACTAAGACTCCAGAGAGAATGCACCACTGGAACAAGGTGCAGAAGGGCTAATGTGTCTGGAATGAAGTGACATGACAACGGCAACCTAGCAGGAATAGCGTGACCAGGCGGGCACGTGCTGCGGTCCCCTAGGGGCATGCTGGGGAAGAGCCCGTGGGAGAGTCACGATGGGATTTTAAAGGACTGGAGGAAAATGAAGGGATGTTTCACCTGCTTCCTACCCTGCTTGCTTCTGCCACCACAGCGGGGATCTCCGCCTTTTGGTGGAAGTGCAGGTTTCCAGTCCTATGATGAACCTGTAGTCTGCCCACCTTTCTCTCCCAGACCTCCCTTACCCCGTCTCCCCTCCCCGTAGCTAGAGCTCTAGAGCACGATGGGGATATTTCTAAATGGCATGTTGACATTTTAGGGAAATACATTCCTTTCCTTAGTAGTAACTATCCCATGACAATATTGAAGATTAAGTAATGAGAAGTGCAGATGACAGTACCTCACACATACTGAGTGCTATAGAGATGTACACAAAGAAAAGAAGTAAGGGGCCAGCAGGTGTCATGGTGGTTGAGGTGCTAGATTCCCACATGGCCAACCACGGCTCGGGTCCTGGACCCAGTGGCTTGAAACACACCAGGAACACATGTGTGCATGCCCAACATCCTGAGAAGAGAGTGAAGAAGGGATTGCATCATGGCCTTCCTGCCCTGGGAGTGATTTCTCGCTTTCTGTCTCTGTCTCTTTCTGTCTCTACAGTGAGTGCATGTACCTTAAAGCAAAAAAAAAAAAAAAAAAAAGACAAAACAAAACAAAACAAAAAACCCAAAAACTCTTAAAAAAGAAAAGAAGTAACACCTGTTCAGTGTTTTCTACATTCCAATCACTGCCAATCTGGGATTAATTATATATTAATCTTCATCATAACACCAGGAGAAAGAAACCGTTAAAACCTCCATCTTACAGATAAAGGCACTGAGCCCAAAGAAGTTAAAATGTCGTGTTTGGCAACCCGGAAGTGGTAGGGCAGGGCTGGGATTCAAATTGCTTGGCACTCTGTGCAATGGAAGCAACCACCCATCCGCAGTTCTGCCCTCCCGTGTGCAGCGGGCCTTTGGCTTTCAGCTGTGTTCCCGGGTTGCTGCAAGGTGTGCATGCTCCCGGGAACACGCTCATGAGCATGTCCGGATCTCGTCAACCAGAGTTATGGCTTAGACCGTTCGGAAGCCAGGCAGCTTGACTGTCCTCTCTCGTTCCACTCTGTCCGTAAAGAAGTCAGACTGTGCCTTAGAGGGAGGGTCAGCTGGCTACAACAACCCCCTCCCCAGTGATGTCCCAAACTGATCTAAACGTGACAGCATCAAATCTCAGCCCACCCCTGGCTCCTGGAAGACACCTCACGCCTTGCCACTGTGTTTTTTGCAGTTGTATTTCATCTCTATGATTCCGATGAGAATGGCCTCCTGGACCAAGCGGTAAGCTCTCACTCCAGATAGCCCTCCTGGACTTGAGAAAGCCTGGGGTGGGGGAGCAGATAGAGGTTCCATCTGTGCGCGAGTAGCAGGGTCTCCGAGGGGGCTTCCAGTAGCTGAAGACAGACCCACCACATCCTACTTCCAAAAAGCCAGCCGTGCAGAGTCAGCTCCAGCTTACCTTTGCATTTCAGAAGCCTAAGATCGTGAGCCCTGGGAACGGGGAGAGACTTCAGTATCTCGTCTGTTTTAGCTCGTCCATGAGTTTGCAAGTTTGTCCTACAATTTGCCACTGGAGCCCAGGGCCAAGAGGAAACGTGGGGTGCAGGAGGTGGGGGAGGCAGGCAAGAAGACCAGGGCAAGAGGAAAAGAGGTTACTGCTGCGGTAACCCCTGGCCTTCACTCACCCTCCGGGGCACTAACCCGGAAGTCTGGTTCTGTCTGCACTGAGCACAGGAGTCCATCCTGTTGCACCTGTGAAGGCCTGAACTCGCCACTGTCCCTTCTGGAAGAGGCAGGGCCATGTTAGGGATCGTGGGATGAGAGGACAAGTGGAAAAGGAAGAAAGCAGAAAGGGGAAGCACACAGGATGAGACAGGTCCAGCGGTCATGGCTGGTACACTTAGACAGGGCTCATTGACCAGATGCCTCTGAGGTTGAGGTGCCAGAGGAAGGAATCATCCCTATTTCCTCTAAGCCTCGGATGCCTGTGTGGGATCCCTGCAGCCACGATGCAGTGCTATGGGTTGGTCCATTGAGGAAACAAGCAGGGACTCCCAGACTCTGAAGCAGTTGGTCAGCACATATTTGCTGCGTGTCTACCATATGTCAGGCACTATTCTAAGCACTGGGGATCTACCAGTGTAGCCAACTGACAACATTCCATGCCCCGTGAAGCTTTCGTTCTTATCCAGGCATAGACACTAAACAGTGTAGTAAAATGTGTGTTCAGTGGAGATGTGTATTGAGGAGAAAAATAGAGGAGGGAAAGGACATGCTGGAGGGAGTTGCAGCTTTAGCTGGAGTAGCCAGGAGGGCCTCCCTCTCCGAGTGGAGACATGAAAAGGATGAGGAAGAAGGGCCTTCTAGACAGACAGTGCCAAGGTCCTAGGGGACTGAAATGTTAGAAGATTAACTAGGGAGCTAGTGTCACTGGAGTAGATGAGGGAACAGATGGGGCCAAAATGAGGAAGTAAGAAGTCCTCTCTGACTAGATCAGAGAAGCTGTGAAATTGCAGGAGGGGAGATTGCGAAGCAGAAGCAGATTACGCCTTGTAGATCGTTGAAAGTGTCTTCCTTTACCCTGGAGAAATGGAGAGCTGTTGAAAGATCTGGGGCGGAGGAGTGACCTGGATGGACTTAGGTTTTAATAGAATCACTCGAGCTGCTGACAGAGTACAGACTGTAGGAACGCAAGTAGGGATACCAGTTAGGATAGCCAAGGCAAGAAATGATGATCATCTGGCACAGGGTAGAAGAGTCACAGCTTCCAGATAAGTGTACAGTTTAGAGATAACTGGGTGGACTGAAGCAAAACTCAAAAGCGGTATCTGATTTACCTTTTGACCCCAAATCCCTGGAAAATGGACTCCTGGCCTCTTTCTGAACACTCCCACTACTGGGGCGGGGAGGTCACCCACCACCTCGTGACAGCCGTTCGTTGCTGGGCATGACTGTTAGAGAGGGCTTCCTTCCGACACAGGAGGCACCTCTCTGTGTGCCAGGGAACCGTCTGCAAGGGCAAACCTGCCTCTGCTCTCCCCTCTGGGTCCCTCAGCCCAGCAGGGCGGCTGAAATAGGCCGAACCTCAGCTACCCCTTCCCTCCACCCTTCGCTTTCCTTCTTCCCTCTGTCGCTGAGCGGGGCAGTGGAATACTGAGGCTACACAGTAGGCCTTGTCGTCAAGGCAGAAACAAATGGTGAGCTCCTCGTGAAACCAGTGTTGCACCAGCTTCTTCTCATGCTCTGCCCTGTCCCTCTCCCTGCTGGGTTTGTCGAGTTTGCTCTTGACACACTCCTGGCTGTCTTCCCTTGATGGGTCCTCCCCTTGCTGTCTTCCAGGAGATGGATCGCATCGTCAACCAAATGCTGCATGTCGCCCGGTACCTGCAGTGGGACCCCACGGAGCTGAGGCCTGTGAGTTTCCGTAAGCATGGGGTGACCTCAGTGAGCTTCTGAGGTGACAGTGGGACACACTTAAGGCTTGGATGCAGTGTCCGTGTGCTGAGGCTCTCGGACCCTGCTCCTCACAGGCAGCTTCGTCGGAGTCCTGCACCTTGACTTCCCACTTCTCTGACAGAAAAGCGTAGGCAGTGTCAACAAGTGTTGATGTGACAGAAATAATCATTCCCTCCACTCTTCTCTGTCGCCAGAGCTAAAATGCTATAACCGGAACTTGTAGAACAAAAAATTTAGAGCTAGGAAGAATCTGAGATTTTTATCAACATTAATAATAATAATATTACATATGGGGCTCCCATATATCAAGAATTATATCAGGTGCTTTAAATGTACTTTTTTTCAGCACAGTACTGTAAGCATGGCAATCTTATTCCCATTGTCATTGAGGAGCAAACTAGAACCTCGAGAGTTGGGGTGGCTTGCCCTAGGCCACACAGGTCAGGACCAGAGCCAGACCTAGAACCCTGGTCCCTCCTTCCCGATCTGCTTGCTCACTGGTCTGCTCACTCTGAATAAGGTGTGTGTGTGTGTGTGTGTGTGTGTGTGTGTGTGTCGGGGGAGTACTGGGAAATAAAACACAAAGCAGAAGAGGCAGGACAGAAGAGAAGGCAGAGGGCAGGAGGGAGGTGGAAAAGTCGAGAATGAAAATGACAACCATCACTCTCTGATCCCGCAGATATTGAAGGAGATGCTACAAGGAATGGACTATGACCAGGACGGCTTCGTGTCCCTCCAGGAGTGGGTCCACGGGGGGATGACTACCATCCCATTGCTGGTCCTCCTGGGCATGGATGACTCCGTAAGTCAGCAAGCGGGGGTGGCAGGTTCTAGCCAGTCAGCAACTTCGGGCTCCTGGTTCATGTCTGTGCACCGCTTTGACTGCTTCTGGGTTTCCCAACGGAGGTGCTGCGTACTTGAGGCCAGCCCCAAGATTCCCTTCTCATCCCTTTTTACCCACTAGTGCCTAAAAGAGTTTCATTTATTCAATAGACATTTCCTGAATTATTCCTGAATTCAGAACACTGTTCTGCACGCGGCATGAGGGGACACAGATATAATATTTGCCTGTAAGAAGTTTACACTCAAACAGCTGAAGGAGAAAAGAAATCCACCTGTAGAAAGAATCTGGTCTTTTCCACAAATTAGATTTAAGAGAATTGGAGAAGAAATGAAGAAAGTGGCAGTAGAAGGGAGGGAGGAAAGGGTGAAGGAAGACCTGTTTGTGAGTAGGCAGTCATTAATGGCGTTATATTTAACAATCAAAATAACCAGATAAGGTTGGTTTTTTGTTTGTTGGTTGGTTTTTGTTTTTGTTTTGAGAGGTTTTTACTATAGGGCACGTGCACTCGCCAGAAAGACAGAGAGAGACAAAAAGCAAGAAATCACCCCCCGGGGGGGCGATGGCCACTCTGCAATCCCTTCTCCTCCATTCTCCTCTCAGGATCTTGGGCACGCACGCACACGCGCCTGGTATGAGTTTAAGCCACCGAGTCTGGGACTTGAACCACAGTCGACTACATGGGAGTCCAGCAACATAGCCATTATGCCAACTGCTAGTCCCGAGGTAGATATTTTTCATCCCAATTTATACAGTTAAAAAATGGGTTCTTCACCAGGCGCGTGTGCGTGCGTGCCCAAGATCCTGAGAGGAGAATGGAGGAGAAGGGATTGCGGTGTGACCATCCCCCCTGGGGGGTGATTTCTTGCTTTCTGTCTCTAAGTCTCTCTCTGTCTGTCTGGCGAGCGCACGCGCCCTATAGTGAAAACCTCTCAAAAAAAAAAAAAAAGGGTTCTTAACTAAAAGGAGGGACCAGGATTTATACCTTACTCCAAAATGTTCTAATGTGGTAGGCAGTTAGTCATGAGCGGGCAGCCCTAAGAGAAAAGCGAAGGCTTATCTAGCTCCAGGTGCCAGGAGGGTGAGGCAGTTTGCCATCTTCCTTCCTTGGGGCCTGAGGGAAGCACACAGAGGTGATTGGTAGATTTTTCTCTTATCAAAAAGACACAAGCAAGCGTTTTGGTCAATGCCGTAATTCCCATTAGGGCGATGGACTAATTAGTCAGTCTAGTTGGGGCAACCTGGCTCACATTAGGCGTGTGCAATTAGGTGATCAAGTTCCTCATTCTTTACCTGTGAGGAAGGTGCGCAGGTGCAGGAAAGAACCTGAGGGTTCAAACTCAAAGGAAGAACATAGGCAGCATAAGGGCCTCCCACTAATGAATATTCATGACCTCTAGTAATAAAATGATGGTTAACTAGTACCAAGCGCGGTTGCCACCTGGCAATCTGCCTGCCCAACAAACTTTTTGGGTGTACTTCCTTTCTTTCCTTTCCTTTCTTTCCTATTAAATCTTTTCTACCTACTTCATTCGTGATTGCGGTTTTATTTTGCACCTAGGGACAGATCTCTAATTTTAGTGATCTGGACCCAAAGAACCAAGGGCTTCGCAACGCAGCTCGACACTTTCCTATCCGTTAACACTAACACCCCCGCGAGAGTGAGACTAGTGGGGAAGTCCTGGAGGAGGGAGTTGACCTGTGTCTGCAGAACGCATGGTGTTCTGAGATCCCATTCTTGAGAATAACAATCCCGTAGAAAGACCTAGGAGGCCGTTCTATCTGGCTGTCAAGGATGGGAATGACTCAGGGTAAGAGGTGGCCAGGAGAACAGCTCAAAGACCCCATGGAAGAAAGTTAAGGGTGTGTTAAGGAAATCTCTTGGTTTGATCAGAGCAGAGGATACGTGTAGAGCTTCATGTGAAATCAATGGTTATGGTAAGAGGGCTGGAACTAATAGAATGATGCCATCAAGCGTGTGTCAGGACAGTCACACAGGTTGTGTCACCTCTCTGAGAACAGGAAGTGCCACTGGGTTTGACTCTGGCAGGCTCTCTTCACCCGTGATAGCTCCATCTGACAGTCTTGCAAGTCAGGATGAACACTGAGCCTTTGTTTCCGAGAACTAAGAGCCCTGCAGTCATCTCATAGCAGGTTGAGTTCTCTCCAAGTGCTAAGTGGAAATCAAAGAACCAGGAACTACACAATGCCCTCCTTATTCTTTAGGACTCGAGAAAGTCTCAATGGGAAAAAATCTTTGTGATCCTCGGTCAGTCCCCAAACTTTACAAACTGAGGCCAAGAGAGGTAAAGGGATTTGTCTGAGGACACTAGTACCAGGGACCATCCCCCATATTCACCCTCATTCATCAATCCCTCGTCAAAAACCTCTATCTGCAAGAACCCACATAGCTCTGACATGGGGATGCTCAGATGAGTGAGATATGCCTTCTGCTATTGATACTCACTTAAGATTATACTCAGAAAAAATGGAAGTTCTGCTTAGGTGTTGTTCCAACACATCAGATTTTTATTTGGTAAATAGGGATGAAACATTTTTATTATTATTATTTATACTTTCAATCACAATACATCATTTAGATTATAAAGAGACTTTACCCAGCATGATATACTCCTCAGTCCAGACCAGTTGAGACCACTATACACATCCTCATCAACAGATAATAAACCATGTGTCCCACAAATGTCTTACCTCTCTATTATGTTCCCCCAAATTTTCTTTCCTATGCCCTTCCCCTCCCACCTCTTCTTACACTTTGTCTCTAGTATCCATAACCATTTTTAATGCTTTTATGTCCCCCAGTCTTTCAGTCTCTACCATAGGGTGCAGAGAGTCGGTATATGTTAAGTGGAGACATATAATGTCTCTCTTTCATAGCCTGACTTGCTTCACTCAGCAACAAAGCTTCCATATTCATCCACTTCCTATCAAATTCCAGGGCCTTGTTTTTTATGGCTGAATAGTATTCCATGGAGTATACGTGCCGCACTTTTTCAATCCATTCATCTGTTTGTAGACATTTGGGCTGGTGCTATGTCTTAGCAATTGTGAATAATGCAATAAATATAGTTGTACAAGCGCTTTTCCCACTGAGTAATCTCATGTCCTTTGGGTAGATACTCAGGAGTGGAATTTCTGGATCATATGTAGTTCTATTTGAAGGTCTTTGAGAAACTTCCATATTGTCCTCCACAGTGGCTGGACCAATTTACATTCCCACCAACAGTGTAGGAGTGTTCCCCTTTCGCCACATCCCCGCCAGCACTTATCATTATGTTTTTAATCTTCGCCATTCTGACTGGGGTTAGGTGGTATCTCATTATGGTTTTGATTTGCATTTCCCTTATGATGAGGGATGTTGAACATTTCTTCATATGCTTTTTTGGCTGCTCGTATGTCTTCCTTAAAGAGTTGTTTATTCAGTTCATTTTCCCATCTTTTAATTGGGTTAATCATTTTCTTCCAGGTAAGCTGCTTGAGGTCCCTGTGTATTCTGGTTATCAATCCTTTACCTGAGGCACAGTTAACAAAAATTCTCTCCCATTCTGAGGGTTGTAGATTCACACTAATTACAATGTCCTTTGCTGTGCAGAAACTTCTTAATCTGATGTATTCCCACCTGTCTATTTGGGGGATTATTGCCTGTACTTTGGAGATCTTGCTAAAGAAGACTTTGCCTACCCCAGTGTCTCCCAGAGTTTCCCCAGTGTTTTCCACCAGTAATTTTATAGTTTGTGGTCTTAGGTTTAGATCTTTGATCCACTTTGAGTTGATTTTTGTTAATGGTGACAGAAAGGGGTTCAGATTCATCTCTCTAAAGGTATATACCCAGTTTTTCCAGCACCATTTGCTAAAGAGGTTTTTCTTTTCCCACTGGATTGACTGGTACCCTTTGTCAAAGATAAGTTGGCTGTTTGTTTAGGGGTTTATTTCTGGGGTCTCTATTCTGTTCCAATGGTCTTTATGTCTGTTTTTGTGCCAATACCTTGCTGTTTTGATTATCACAGCTTTGTAATATATTTTAGGGTCAGGAAGTGAGATGCCACCCACTCCACTCTTCTTGCACAGGATGGCTTTGGCAATGGGGTCTTTTATGATTCCAGAAAAATTCTATGATTGTCTTTTCTAGATCTGTGAAGAATGTCTTTTGTAATTTTATAGGGATTGCATTAAATAT